CAAATGTTGGTGTAGCCTTCTAAGCTTTTGCTGAAATCGAATTCAGTTGTTTCGTTGATTTGGTACAGTAAAACCTCGATTTACCAAGTAAAACCGTCCTTTACTGTAAAGCCCAATTTACCGCGTGACGCCTGTTTCTATTACCCAAACCGGTAAATCAGGGTTTTACTGCTGCCAGTATTATAGGCATTTCTTTTCATAAAGATAACATGACTTTACATAAATAATGTAGAAAGACATAAAAGCATAAAGAATAATCGGCATACCGTGAAATTGTATTGTAAGCACCATCGTCTATCTTTGGGCCGTCACTTCCCTTCAGTAGGCCAATCCAGGCCATCGTGGCTTTATCTTCAGGGGGCAAATTTACAGAAAGGGATGCGTTTTGTTTCCTACACATCTTGATTGCTTTGTCTTGTGATACGTTCTTTTTGCTTACTTTGGGTAACTCTACACGCTTCCCATATGGAGCTGTAAATTCTATTGTAAGCACCCTAGAAACTACAAGCCTACTCTGTCTTTATATTGATTTTAGAGTCCACAATATAAGATGGCATGAGATCCATGCTAGAGTATAAAATTTCCATTTTACCATGTACTAAACACACCCGTACTTAAATAATTATTTTCCTCGCACTGAAATAATTGAAATAATTGAAATATTTTAATTCTATAAAGAGACTCACATGGTTTTAAAACCTCTATCTCGGATAAGACTTGTTCCAGTTTCCTACCCTCTTTCAGTTGGATTGTTATGAAGAAGTCGTTCAGCAGCTTTGGAGGATCAAATAACCAGTACCTTTCCCCGCTTGGTTCCACTTTCTCTGTGTAATCTTCCCATTTCCAGTGAATAAAGTAATTCTTTATTGCACCCTGAAAAAAGTGATTATATAAAGTTAATGTTGTTTGGCTAATATTACGTTGTTATCCAGGTAAAATGCAATTACCGTAGCTAAAATGCTAAGAGTAACATTAATAGGTCTAGTTTACCTGGGGGTGTTCATCATTGGGTGCGTGAAGTCTAATTTTTGACACAAAAAGTGGAAGTTTATCTTTTTCCAACGGTTCGGTAGCAAGATCAATTTTTAGTAAATAAGATGGTCCATTCAGTCCGGTATTGCATTTGCAGGGTTCTTTAAAATTTTCGTCATGTAAGCATGCTATATCGTCGTTGCTGTTTGCATCCTTTGCAACGCTAACTAATACAGCTGAAATTAATAAAATTGTATGTGATACCATGATTGATCCTTAGACAAGCTTAAGGCAAAAAAGTCGGTATAACATTATTTGTGGTCATTTCTGTCCGCTAAATTATCGTTAGAAATTTCAAAAACATTTCACTTGCTGCTAATTTAAACTGCTGTTGGGTCCAGAAACCACTTTCAAACCACTAACAATGAATAGGAATCCTCTCTTCGTTGATATACTGTTTGACGATATCAGGGATGTTATCAGTACAATCACCATTTTCTGTTGTTAACGTACACACTTGGAACCCTGGGTAATAATCATCGAATTTTGTTCGGAATCAGTCTTACTATAGTTATATAACTTATAAGTGTAGTCACTATTCAGATGCCAACTTTGCGTTGATTGTGGTTATAAGTGGAGTTATATTTCATGAAATATCCATTGTTACTTTCATAAATCTTGTTAACGTAGAATTAGAATTAGAATTAAATTTACACAGCAATACAATAAGAATAAAGATAATCTAAAGAAGCTTCAAACTGCAATGTAGGACATTCAAGTCAGTCAGAAACTGTTAGAAGAATACCCTTCTAGGGACATAGAATCAAAACATATATTATGTCATAAGCTATAAGTTAATGAATATGGTACAGTGAGATTTAATATTAAACTGTGGGTATGAAGGTTATTTATAACCTATCCATTATCCAAGCATTGTTCAATTCGTTGGACACAAATTTAGAAACAGTAACCCTGCTAAAATAAAAATACTCACCCGACTGACAAGCCACCTCGTAAAGTAGAGCGGACCAAAAGACCAACAAAAACATAATGCTTAACTATCAAACTGAAGAACATGCACCAGCCAGCTAGAGAGAGAGAGAGAGAGAGAGAAAGAGAAGGAGCTGTTTCGTCAAACAAACACCTGGGTACTGCAGCTCCCTCCTGTCTCACAATTACAGCAGAACTCGGTAAATTACTCCCCTTCTCCAGCTCGTAATGTCTTAATATGAGAGTGATTATAAAGCAGCTGAGTGTTTTCATTCACAACTCTACGGCCTTCTTTCCTTAAAGTATCTGCTACGTGACAATTCAAAAAAGAAAAAGTCCACATAAATTCTGAGCTTACGGCTAATCAGCGGTTGCCATGGCAGCGAAGAAATCAGCCCGGGCACCTGTTCAGATGTCAAATAAAACATCATGTCCCTGACCTCAAGCTGATAATTGCTGTCACGTGACCCCTTGTAAATGTCACATGACCCCTTGTAATCTGGTCATCTAGAGGTTGGGATTAAGTTTGTGAGCAGCTGTCCGACTATTCATCCGCCCAATCGCTCTGCCTGAATCGATTACTGCTGGATCAAATCTTAGTGCAAAACTTATGTTTTATAGAGTACTGATCTTTATTCTTTATATATTTATACATATAATAGTTCTGTACCCTAACGTATTGGAATAATAAATTCCAATATTTATTGGTACATATATTATAGCAATCGTGAAGCGTTCGTACGGAGCGATTTCTGATTCCTGTTTAACATTGCCCGACGTGCAAACACACCAAGCTCCAAGCTGCATTAGGCTAACTGACCCTGACTGCATGAATGAAATGTATATAATATTATATATTATACATCCGTATCATCTATTAACATAATACGAATTCGAACATACCATAGCCTTGTAGATGTATGTATTGGTGTATCTGAGATCGTTTGCGAGATCATTTGTTGAGTCAGTTATTTCAGCTGTCATGATATTGAGCAGTGCATATACCAAACAGGGTGAATTGTAGGCACAATGCTTAAAGTGAGCAGTGAACTATCTGAACACCTGGCGGCTGACAACTAATAGCAGACCAATTTACAATTATTCAACGTAGAAGGGTCGAGGGGGATCTAAGTGACCAGAACTTGGCTGATATTGTATCACGTGTTAATGTTAGAACTGTGACCAAATATGTGACCAAATATTGAAGAATATGATCTAATGATCACAAACATCACTATATATATAAACAAAAGCTCTAAGAAACAGATAGTAAACAAAGTAAACATTTCTGTCCCCTAATCTTTCTCAAACAAAAGTCATGCAATTTGCATACTTCTCCATTTAACTCTATTCTGAGCAATTAACGTTAAATAGTCCAAATCACATAAATTATTTAACGATAATTTTCGGACACTAAGGTCGTGTAGAATCAGTGAGAAAAGGTTTGACTGCGGTCTTCCACGCCGCCCTTGAAGCTGTAAGGTGTTGACAGCAAAAACAAGCGACGAATAGGCTGGGCCATCTGTAGGCCCACGCAGTACATGTCCGAGCATCCTCCACCGACTACGAGCCACTTTAGCTGACAATGGTTCGCTATTGCAGCGTTTATACAAGTTCTTGTTGGAGATGATGTGAGGGTATTTGTAATTCAAAATTGATCGCAGATGACGTCTGTGAGCAATATCTAGTTTTTCCAATACTGATTTAGGGGCAGCCCAGCAAGATGAATTGTACATTAAAACGGATACTACCAGAGCCTCATACAACAGAAGCCTCTTGCTCAGAGGGATCTTATGGTTCCAAGCTTTCTTGTATTTGTTAAACGCGGCATATCCCAGACATATCCTTCTAGAGATGTCCTCCTTGCTACAAAGCATGGAGCCAAGCGTGATACTCTTTCTCCAGAGCTCGTTCCCTGCAATTGGCTTACCCTGATCGTCTTTAGCTCCCTTTTCAGCTAAGTACACATGAGTGAAATCAGTTTTGTCTTCGTTAACGAAGAGATTCCAATCTTTAAGGACTTCTGTTGCAATAGGCAACAGCTCCCTCAAATTGTCTTCATCTTCATCATTGAAGTCGATATCATCAGCATACTCACTGTCAAGTGGAAGACCAATATCGGTGATAGGTGGGTTAGGCCTATTCGTTGCAGTTTCAAGCCTGTTACGGAGGTCACGCAAGGCACCCGCTAAGACAAGTGTGAACAAGCATCCAGACAGACAGTCACTCTGGAATTCAGCAGACAGTGTACCGTTGATATTGACTTTGAGCTTGGTGTTGGAAAGCAAAAGTCTTACTAAACGGACTTCGTCATCATCACAGCCACACTCAACAAGAAGATCGAGGATGGTAGATTGTCGTATAGTGTCAAAGGCACTAGACATGTCGATCCCCATACGATGGTATTCCCACCTCTTCCTCTGGACAACTGATAACATCACACGCTGGCACCATACAATGTCAGCACATGATCTACCCTGCTTGTAAGCACATTGCCATGGACCAGTGAAGGCATTGACTTTATTCTCAATTCTCTTCAAGGTTGCCATTGAAAGAATCTTTCTAACAGCATTTGAGAGAGTGAGGGGTCGTAGATTCTTCACTGGACCAATGGGCTTATTTGGCTTCTGTAAGGGGGTAATGTTTGCCTGTCCAATGGGGTCAAGGTAGGAATTGGTCTCGAAGCTTCTATTGATAATGTCTGCAAAACGTCTGTGTACTGATCCAGTAGAATACTTGAGAAGCTCATTAGGAATCCCATCTGGGCCGTTAGCTGCGCTCGACCATTTTTGAGACTTCTAGCAGCTGATCCGATTTCTTCACTAGTGAATGGCTTAACTAGTGGGCGAGGAGGTCCTACAAAAGGTTCTAAAGGTGCTTCATCACGAGTAAGTTGTTGCTCAAGGTACTTAGCAACTACGGCAGCTTTACCAGTTTAACATCACTATAAATAAATAAATGTCACAGAAACAATTATTAACGATTTAAACTATTCTTGATCTTGTTATTTTTAACATAATTGTTCTCTAATCCTTTCAATTTATTAGGTTATAGGATGTAAAAGATAGAACCAAGAGGAAGAGAGAGTCTTACAGGATAGTCTTACAAGATCCACTGAGCAGAACAGTATGGGCCATGACGTGTAGTTTTGGGAGATGAGCCAATCTACTAAACTTGGTATGTAGAAAATATTAGATCTACTAAACTTGGTATGTAGAAAATATTAGATGGTTGGCATTTCGCCAGCTGTCCTGACAGACAGTTGATCAGATATCTTACTACTTGTACTTGAAAAGGTCTCCTCCTAGTCGTTGGAGTGGCCTGCACCACATAGTAACTCCTTTCTCCGGTATATTAGACCTCTCCAGTGAACCCTGTCTGTAGCTTGTTGTTCTGCATCTTCTATTGTGATGTTATCGACACCTGTGAAGATTGCTGCATCCTCCCGGACGCATGACAACCAGTTTTTCCGAGGTCTGCCTCTTGATCTTTTACCATGCTTTGGGATCCAGTGCAGAAGATATTTGGGTATTCTTTCTTCTGGCATCCTCACCACATGGCCAAACCATCGGAGCCTAGCTGCTCGTACGAAAGTATCAACAGGGGCGATGTTAGCCCGCTTTAGTACGTCAGCATTAGATACGTGATAAAACCATTTGATTTTCAGGATTCTTCTCAGACATCTATGATGGAACACCTCGAATCTTTTTATCTGCGTCTGAGTGGTATTCCATACCTCACTTCCATATAGCAGTATAGTGAGGACAGCCGCTTTGTATATCCTGATTTTAGTTGGTGTCTTGATGAACTGCGACTGTACCATATACTGCTAAGCTGATAGAATGCCCCAGAGGCTTTTTGAATTCGAGCTGATAATTCTTTGTCAATTGTTCCATTCCCACTGATGATAGCACCCAAGTAAGTGAAACTGCTGACCTGCTGTATTGGGAGACCTTCCACACTGATGTCCATAGTGTCGTCTTTAGAATACGGCCTCTGCGAAGCACTTTTACTGACAACCATGCTCTGTGTTTTGCCAGCATTAATCTTCAAACCCGCATAGGCACTGTATTTGCAGAGAAGGTCAGTGGTTTCCTGCAGCCCTTCTTTTGAGTTATCTAACATGGCCATGTCATCAGCGTAATCAGTGTCCAAGAGATGTTTCTCTTCTACCCCGGGGGCTGGCAGCTGTAATAAAGCCCCCTTACTAATGACCTTGTTTAGTTCCATAAGGTATGCTGAAAAATTCAAACAAAAGTTGAAGACTGGTGGTCCCTGTATATCACCTTGCCCACTTCCCGAGTTGACATCAAACCAACCTGTTACCTCTCCATTGACCCTAACAGCACTAACTGTGTGAGTAAAGAACGCCTTCATGATTCTAATGTACTTGTCAGGCAGGCCGTAGTGCTGCATACTTCTCCAAATGAACTGCCTGTCAATCGAATCAAAAGCTGCTTTGAAATCAACAAAATTAATATACAGAGGGATATTATACTCAATACATTGGTGTATAATACAGCGGAGTGAATAAACCTGGTCAATACATGAGCGATTCTGTCTAAAACCACTTTGATTCTCCCGGAGAAATTTCTCCATGCCAATGCTAAGTCTCCGCAGGAGTATCATCTGAAGGAGCTTCGAGGCTGTGGATCTTAATGTTATGCCTCTGTTGTTAGCGCAATGAGAGGTGTCACCCTTCTTTCCAACGATGATAATAACACCTTTGGACCAATCCTCAGGAATCTTCTCATCTTCCCACACTTTCTTGAACAACACAACTAGTTGATCAACCAACCCATCCTGTCCATACTTAAGTTGCTCGTTGGTGATACCATCCACTCCTGGACTTTTGTGATTCTTGAGTTTTTTAAGGGCATCAACAATCTCGTTTCTAGTAGGAGCCTCATCCGAATCGGAAAGGTCGTCAAAACTGGGTTGCGGAGGGATGTTGTCTAGGTCAGACATATTGGCCTCTTGTGGGGGAGGGTTCAATAGCCTAGAAAAGTGCTCTTTCCACCTTTCTTTCTGGGCATGTGGGTCGGCAATCAACTGGCCAGATACGTCTCTAACTGCAGTTGACTGCTTCTTCTTCTTTCCAGATATGACATTGATCTTCTGCCATACCTCACGTTGCTGGCCTTTTCTCGCAGCTTCTTCTAAGTCATCGGCCATTCTAAGTGCCCAGTTGTTATCGTCCACCTTGCTACTTTTTTTAAAGAGCTTATTCAATCTAGAATACTCTGACCTGTTAGCGTTCGAATTAGGGTCTTTACGCTTAAATTTCTTACGGTTCTTCAATAATTCTTTTGTCTTCTGAGATTGGTGCCTGTCCTTCTTTTTTCGAGGCCTTTGCCCAAGGACTTCCATGGACACTTGTGTGACAGTTGTTTTGAAGTTGTCCCACATTGATTCCAGGTCAGCCTCAGGTTCCAAACAGTCAAATTTGTTTCTCAGAACAATGTTGTATTCGGAAATAAGTGAATGATCACGCAAGTGCTCAATAGCAGGAATCTCGAGCTTATGTTCTTGCTTCTTTTTCACTGACATAAGCTTCATTCTTAGTCGTGCTCTTACCAAATAGTGATCAGACCCAATGTCAGCCCCTCTACAAACTTTTACATTTAGCAAAGAGCCTCCAAACTTCTTACTGATACAGATGTGGTCTATTTGGTTTACAGTACGACCATTAGGTGATCTCCACGTACCTTTATGTATATCCTTTTGCTGAAACATAGTGCCACCGATGGTAAGTTGGTGGGCGATGCAAAAGTCCAACAATCGGGTACCATTGTCATTTGATGAGCTGTGAAGCAAGTGTCCACCAATGACACCTGACATAGAACTACAGTCCGATGTGATCTTAGCATTAAGATCACCGAGCAGTAATTTTAAATCATGTCGGGGTAGCTCATCGAATGCACTTGACAACTGCTGGTAGAATTCATCCTTATCATTATCTGAAGCCCCCTCAGTTGGCGCATATGCCACAACAACAGAGATGTTCGGGTGTTGACTATGCAGCCTTGCACTCAACAAACGGTCAGATATTGGTAGATAGGAAATTAATGAATTTTTAATCCTCTTTGAAAGGGAAAGACCAACACCTCGCCTTCTTATACCGTCTGTCCTCCCTGAATAAATAAGTAAGGAGCCATTATCCAGTAGCTCTGATCCTGTACCAGGCATATGGGTCTCAATTATACCCAGCAAGTCCAACTTATACTCAGAGATATTCTCTGATAGCTGAAACAACTGACTTGAGCTGCTGGTCAGAGATAATACATTCCATGTCCCAAATGTAAGACCTGTTTTAGAATAATTCGCTGGCTGTTTCTTATTAGAATCGGAGTCCACATGGGTGATCTGCGGAGAAATAAATCTGCTACAATGACGTGTTCTCCCAACACTCATCTGGCCACGGGGGTCCATTAGGCTTTGCCCCGCCACCTTCATACTGGTATCATCCGTCCTTGCAGAGGGAGCCACACACCGTTTCTTGTTGTTACTTTGTGATGTTTCTGCAGCAAATGTTTAGAGAGGAGAAGTTGCCAGCATCTCGCACCCGGTTTTTTATCGACCTTTGCCTGTCTAGATCCATAGTGTTTAGTTGCACGTCATCTGTTTGAACTGGGGTCACCCAGGACAGATTACAATGCTTAATAGTAGCACCTCGAAAAGGATGTGATTCTTCATCACGCACTATGGTCATTGGAATAGGAGAGGTTATAGGTGACACGATCACTATTCCCTGAGATTAAAAATAATCTCTTACCACCAATAATCTCTTACCATCTTAATCAGATATCATGTCAAGTATATTATATATACTGTGGTATGCGTACAATTTCATGATTTGTACAGCTATGTAGATATTATGTCTGTCGTATATTAATTGATGTATCGCGTGGGTATTTTCTCGTGTGATATGCAAGACTTCGGACTCAGTTGTCATAGTTTTTTTTTTTCTCAGAACTAAGTTAATACTTTTCCTTTGCGAATGTGACTTAATTCACTGTTTTAAATTATCATGATCTTAAGAAACACTTTACACGTTAAATTGTTAACGTTCCACATTATTCAGGTCTGATCAAAGAAAGTATCAAGAAGTCGACCCTGCTAGCATCCCACAACCTCCAGAACTATGCCCTCACAAAACGGAACAACTTCCTCTCCAAACCTATCATCTTCACTCTGAACAACCAGGTTAGCTCGTAACAATTAAACGTTTAAGTAAATGCTACCATTTAGCGCTAAAATCTATTCGAATATTAATTTAATGGTTGATTGTGTTTGTTGATTGGTAATAAATAGTAAGATTGTCTTTTCTCAAAATGTTTTTTCTCAGTTTCAGCACCTGGTGTCACCTGAGAATATAGAGCATGTTAAGATGAAATGTGATGAAGCGTACCATAAGGTGGCTGGAACAGAGGTTACGGAGGTTCAGGATAGGGTGAGTTTACTTTTATTACTCTCTGAGAACTGATTTATTGGAATTTTCAAATGTGTCCGCCAACTTTGCAAATTGTTAATTGATGTTAATTGAATCGCTTTGTTTTATTAACATGATAATCTGAGGTTGATCGCTGAAAGTGATCGTATATTCTTTGAGTACGGTAGACGCACAGCTGTAGGCCCTTATCCTTCTAAACTCACATTCATTATAACATGATATAATAGGTGTCCGTTCCGGGGGTTTTTAATGGTGAAAAATGGTGAAATTTTACATTTTGTACACTCAATTCACCATAAAAATCATTCATCATTTTTCACCATTTTACACATTTTTTCACCATTAATATTATATAATAGGTGTCCAATCTGACAAGTAACGTTATTTGTGACAGGCCCGTGAATTAGAAAGTAAACTGAACATGAAGCGTAAGAACATGTTAGAAGCACGTGAACAGATGGACAATGTGAATGAGCGTCTGAGAGGTATTGCAGTGGAGCTGGAGAATGCTAGACGTGGAGATCCCAAACATCTTCATCTGAGGCAGCTCGAGTACGATACCATTCAGGTACCTTGTTTAATGTTTATCGGAAAATGTGACAACTTTGTAACCTTATTTAGCCTGGAATAGAAAATATAATTTAGCTTTATAACATGTGTCTTCCTGTGACTCTGACTTTACTTGCAGGAGGAGATGAAACTGAGTAAACTGGTACAAAAAACAGAATTTTCAGAACGTGAGACGTTTACCTGGTTAATGAACGCTGTGAGGGAGAGCCATGAGACTGAGCGGAACTATAATCAGAGGATTAAAATGCTATCACTCATCGGTAATTACTGCATTGTTACTTTATTTGACATCTAAGTGTCCCTTCGTTTTTAGCTATTTTTAAAATTAAAAATTATATGTTTTAATTTTATGATATTATTTGATTACTCACTATTTTGTTCTTCCAGGTGCAATAATAGGTCCCTTCATTGGATACATGTTCAGTGCGCGGCTCAATGCTAATCGCTTCAGAAGAATGGAGGATATTATCAACAGGAAGCTTGAGCTCCTCAGTTTCACAACCCTCAATGCCATCAGGGAGATTCATGATTTAGAGCCAGAGGTAATGTCTGACTCAGAGAAGGAGGGCCTTGTCTCGAGGATATTTGGCATCTTTAATATGATGCAATCGTTATTGATAGAGTCTTACAACGTTGCTGTTAGTTCTTCGTCCGACTTATTACAAAACCTCAAAGAAAATACTGAGAATAATGTGGCAATAGCTGAGGTTGTGGCTGAAAAATCTAAAAAGGTTCAAGAGAAAAAGGCAGTGGTAGAGACCAAACCCCAAACCAAGGAAACTGGCTCACAAGTTACAACAAGCATGCCTGTTGAGAGAATTGTGGTTGAGAAGATAATCGAGAGGCTAATACCACAGGAAATAGACTATGCTAATCTACCTGAGTTTAAATCTTTGATGGGATCTCTGAAGACAATCGAAGAGAAACAAGACAACTTGAAGCAGCTTCTGATCACATCTCAAGAACTTCACGAGTCCGGTAAAATAGAGGTTTCTGTGAACTCGTCCGATGACGAGATCATCTCCATGCTTCAAGCTGACCAACAGATGGTCAGGAAGCTTCTGCTCTCAGTTTCAGACCTGCTTCAAGACTCCCGGACAAGTTTGGGGAGCACTTTGAATTCTGTTGTATCAAATATTGAGAGCTTATCTATGAAGATATCGAACAATTCAGAACTTTACGTTGGGAACTTGGAGCATTCCAAGATAGTCAATGACATTGTCAAATCTCTTGAAGACGTGAAATCTAGTATGGACACCATTGAAACGTATAACATGAACGGTTTGAACAAACAGTCTTCAGAAATGACGAATATCCACGGTGATTTGAGCAAACAGATAGATGGTGTTAGGCAGGATCTTGATATGCAGTCGAGTAATTTAGATCAAATCAATGATTCTTTAGTTAATGGGTTTAACTCGCAGGATAGCTATGTTTCAGATATTGGTAATCTTCTAAATGCAATAAGTGGGGTAGTTTGTGAAATTGAAGCTGATAATTCGGTTGATTCTGTAATCGACAAGGTAGATCAAGTGACTGCTGCATTAGCTGAAATGAGGAGTTTATTGGTCACATCAACTGATGCTAGCTGTGAAAAACTAGACGGCGTTGAAACGATTATATCAAATAGCCTTGACAAAACTCTACAAAAATTCGAGGAAAGTATTCTTAGCCAATATCAGAGCCGTTGTGATGCTTTAATGGAAAAAATAGACGAAATAACCATACAACCTTCGACAATTACCTATAATACCATTGAATCTGCTGTAGAAACAGAGGCTCAAAGTGTGGAGGATGTCGAAAAGGTTATATCAGATAATCTGGACAAGACTCTTCAGAAGTTTGAAGAAAATATCATCAGCGAATACCAGAACCGTCACGAAGTTTTACTAGAGAAGATAGACGAAATATCAAAAGTACCTCCCACAGTTATTTACTCAACAATCTCAACGTCAGAACCGGAACCTCAAGATGTTGAGATTGCGTCTGGGTTCGTAGGTTTTCCCGAAGAGATTCTTGATGATTCCAACTTTCCACCATCGCTTACAGAGGGAGAGAATGAAACTATTTCAACTGGAGTTGAGGACCAATCTAGTGCTTCCACTGATGCAGTTGTTGGGGATTCTGTAATAGACATGGTGAAGACTTTTAGTTCTAGCTCTCAGTTGGAAGAAACTGTAGAACCCCTTGATGGCGCTGATGAATCTGCAGTTGAATCTGAAAGTAAGGAAGAAAGTTCACATTCCTATACAGATTCAGCAATTGCATCTGCCAAGTACAAGCGACGTTGATACTTCCATAAAGTTACCAGAAACGATAGAACCTACCCAACCACCGGAAGATGATTTTTCTGACCCGGATATCAACGTTCCTATTAAAGATACCATTGAAGAAATTATGTCAGATTTAAAAGTAACATCATCTGACCCTGCTTTTGATAAGTTTGACTCTTCTAATGAACTTGTTGGTTACCCTGGGGCCCTGGTGACCGAAAAGAAATCAACTGTTTATCTTTACAGTGTTTTTGTCGCAGTTTCCACTGTTATTTTGTACTTTTTAAAATGATTTTAATATGATCGCGAGTTTTTGACATTGTATAATAAAATATTATATATAATATGAATGATGAACGTATTTTCTAATTATTTTTCATGGGCCTAGCTATTAAATACTTAAATAAGGGGGCTATTCGTAAATAAAGATAACTGCAACTTTAATATTTATAATTAATATTAATCAAGTTTATAATTAACGTTCATCTGTTGACTGTTATGTTGTTCATTTCTAAATCAATGATAGGTTTATAATGACGGCTCACTAATTTTAGTCATTGCAAAGTTGCGTTCTGAGTAATTGGTGGCAATAGCTTGGCTAACTAACCACCAGGAAATATTCACCATCATATCTTGAACGATCCGCAAAAATTGTCAGCCATTTATATGTATCACAAACTGTTCTAATTTCATTCGGCTTACCATTGGTCTCTCATCATGATCTTCAACTGAGAACTTTAACTAGTAGGATGTCAATCTTCAGTTCATCTTCCAGGTTTATCAAAAATGATGCGTTTTAAGGGCGTAGAGCAAAAGCAAGATTTAGATAATACTCCAAAATAACGTCAGTTCTTTTTACGCACTGGTCACTAGTGCTCTAGATGGTCTAATAATCTTTAGTCTTGTAGAGTTGTTATGCTCGTGAGTTGATAACGGCAACACGTACACGTCTTGTAGACAGAGCTTCATCCTGTTTACTTGTACACTAACGATTTAGTTTTCAATGAAACGAAAATTTTAAAGATATAAAGATAAAGAGGTAGTAGAGCGTTCTAATGGTTTATTTTAAGAGCAGGTCTTTAGGCTCTTCCTGACCCTGGATAGTCATATTATGGCCTGGGGATGTTGTCTATTACTGGAAATACAATGGAGTATTTTTTCTCAGTCCGTATGATTGGATAGAGTGATCCGACGGAAGTGTGGGCCTAATGAAGGGGTTAGTTCTGGTGAATGTTGTAATTACTGACCTAGGGGGGTGATGTGTACGATATTGTCGATCGAAAAATATTTGTTATTTGTTAAATTTATTTGAAATACACAATAATATTCAACCCTGGTAACTAAGAAGGTACGTTTAAGATATTAAGTCGAGTCATGATACTAGTCTGTAATTAAGGTTTGAACATAACAACTTATATGAGTGATGACAAAATTCCCAATGTATCGACAACATATAAGTTGCAATTTCAGAATTACAATTTTTAAGTAATTATTAAGGATTTTGTTGTGCAATTTATTGTAATCTTGCCTCACCTATAGCCATCTCAGCCATCTGTATAGCAGTCTTGAAGGTGAAGTTGGGAGAACTTATTGCCGTCAATGTCTTTATCTTGAAGTACTCCACATTTTCCCTGCTATTTATCATGAACTCTGTTGACTCTACTCCGTTTATAGTGACCTCATAGGTATCCTGTGTAACTTCAAGCAGGATCTCAATCTCTAGTCCATCTTCCAGGTCCATCGGAAAGTCAAACCGCTTCTCGAAGTCTAAATCTGATGCGGAGGCGTATTTGTTTCCATACATGCTGGAGACTAAAAAGTAATTCAAGTTGCCCCCCAAAGGTTCCGCTGTGTAGTTCATCCGTAGTTGTAATATCAATGGTTGGTTTCTGTCATCATCGTATAGGAGAACTTGTGCATTGCTGTTACTTGAGGGCTCAATCTTGTAAACTCCAGTAAACTCAAATCTTGAGCCTACAGTGACAGGGAATACTGGTTGTTTAACTTGTTCAATCTTCAACGGGATCTCTAGAAAGATCTGTGATCTTCCAAGACCAAGACATGCACATAATGCAAGTAGTAGTAGTAGCATAGCGTCCTCCAGTTTCCAATTGCTAGAAAAGAAGCAGACGAAAAGTAAAAGTAAACGAATCTATCTGCTCTCTGACGAAGGGTGCGTTACTGAGCTCAGTGTACGTGTGGTTGAACAATGCTATTACAGATCAGTACCCTCGTGACAATACTGCTTTACTTCCTGACACGAGGTATTTTTATCTTTATCAATAACATTAGTACAGTCTAACCAATGTGAGTACTAGGTAGCCTTTACATGCTTAATGCTGTGATGGTTCAGAAACCACACGTAGGAGTTCTTAGTCTTGCAATGTTGTTAAAAGAGCTAGTGAGGTGGAATACAAGGGCGTTAACGGGACCATGTGTTTAATGGAGAGTTTTAAGGCAGAGGGGGGGGGGGGGGGGGGTGGGGGCTAAGAGACAAGCCCTATTTTTTTACAACTTTTTAAAAACAAATATATGATTAATTACAACTTATATATTGTGTGCTGACAAATTTCCCAATTTATCAGCTCCATAATATATAAGTGTATTATGAAATCACTCTTAATTTACTATTTAAGTGTTTATCAGAAATCATTTAAATCAAATTGACTCACCTATCTTAGTCATCTGTATGGCAGTCTTGAAGGTGAAGTTGGGGGGGGGGGGGTCCAACCCGATGTCCGATATGAGGGTTGATGAGGCCAAAATCGGAATCGGAAAAATCGGAAAAATCGGAAAATTGAGAAATTTAACAGAATCGATCTCTAAGACCTCTCAGAAGTGATATAATTCAACCAGAACCCCTACATATGCTATATTGTTATGAGAAAACGAACCAATTGGACATTCCAATAGTATGTTTAATGTGTTTTCCACTGGGGTCACGAAATCCTCTCCGAACCTCCACGTGGTGTGGCCTGGTTGGCACTAACGGGTGGTGTGCTCTCTTGTTGAGTACTAAGGTTGGGACTTGCCAACTCAAAGTTCCCATGGGAACCAGGAAGTCAACAATAACAGCTACCAAGCACCAGGAAATTTCTCTTTCAGTTATCAGGTTACAAGATAGTACACACACAAATGACGATACGTTAGACACAGATACCTAGCTCTAAGAGCTATTAAATCACCAGGAAATTCTCTTTCAGCTTTCAGGTCCCATCGAAGTCACCCACCACAGAGCTAGGGATTCCAATTCGCTCATCCTGACTACAAGGACACACTGATAATGAGTAGTCTTGACACTTCTCTCTCCAGTAACCACTTTTCAGGTCTTTTCAGTTAAGACAGCTAATGCGTAAGGGCTGACACACGCTAGACACAGGCTCGTGATAAGACAGAATTAGGGATTTCAACTCTGACTACGAGGACACACTGATAACGAGAATTCCTGGCACTTCTTCCTCCAGTAATCACTTTTCAGGGGACCGGGTTAGCTTTGCCACACTCTTTATTGAAGTTTGACTGGACGCTCTACAATCATCTAGTAGCAGCAGAGTTTGACTGACATCCTTTCTGGTTCTATTCAGTTTCTACAGCGGAAGTTCTCAACACTCGAATCAGTTCATCTTGGACATCCTACAGAGATGCTTTATCACAGCCTGCCCCATTACACGGGGAACCCTTAGATCTACAGTACCCTGGTGGACAGCTTAGCTCATTAAAGCATAGTGGACCTCTTTAGTTCTGAGACGCAAAGCTAACCGGACCAGGAATAAACATCAATGCAATGCTTAGGGGATGCAAATAGGACATACAACGTTTAACGATTTACTCGAACTTTTGATTCATTTTTAAGCTCGACGTTACATGTTATCAATTCAGGACAGATATTCCTTCTTCAGGTTCATTGAGGAAATCGTACCCGCTATTTGCGTTATACATGGCAAGTATCTGGACTAATGATATAACTTAGGATCTCAATCAATCATAAATTCCTCTCAGATTCCCAGGCTGCATTTAAAGCGCTTAACAGCACCAATTTTAACTCCAGGTTCGTTCTGAACATCTCAGACCAACTCAACTCGCTAGGTTTTCTCATCGAGTAGAACTTTGTTCCAGGACATGAAGGAGTATACGGTAAAGAACTATAATCAACACCCAAATAAAAGATTATCTCTTCAATCTCCTTATCAAGAAGTTTAAACAGGTGGCACTCAGTGATAAAGGAAAACCCCCACTAACATTTTTCCTCAACAAAAACAGGTACAAGAAAATTAACATCACAGGCTAGGCACTCACATCAGATGGCTAACATGGCTACTATCAGGACACAGCCCACTAGCATACTTCCAGACGTTAGCAAACAACTCCAATTTCGAAACACAAGACTGTGAACAGTGCCCAGGGGAAGCAGAAACATCACAACACTTCCTATGTGAATGCATCCAGCTGATGACAACTAGAATGAGGATATTTGGTAAACCCATCCTAACAATTGAGGAACCCATCAATAGTAAACTCGACCACATTATCAAATTCGTGGAACAGTCAACAAGGTTTGACAGAGACGATCTATTTGGATAAGCATCTAGGACATACACCAAGGTTCATAAACAATCATACACTAGACCCACACAGGACTATCTCAGATAGTGATACATATTCAGGTGTGGACCATGCTCGGAAGTCCCTCGCCTGCCCGCTAAAGAAGAACATCTGAAGTGGGTTTGCTCTGAGCAAGGTAGTAACAGCTTCGAGACTCCAGAGGTCTGTTGCGTTGATATCTATTATTCTATGTTTTTGTATATACTTAGGGAGTCCTGGAGTGTGGCTAGCAGGAGTCACACTCTGTGGGCACGGCGAGAAGGCCTCCCTCTTCACTAGGAGGCCAGAAACCGTTGACCAAAACAGAGAGAGAGAGAGAGAGTGTTTTCCACTGCAGGGGCTAGTATGCTCATTACTAGTTGGAGTTGTCATGTACTCCCAGACCCGAGTGCTTTGGCCTCTTGACGTGAGATCGATTGTTTCGGCTCATTAATTTTATCCCTGTTACTTGTTATTATGTATTAGTACAACACTAGGTACCGGGTTATATTTTGTGGTCTGGTCTTTAAACATACCATACTATCACTAGTACACTGCACCTTAAATGTATAGTCAAGTACATTTGTATCGTAACACATGTTTGGCTGGGGGATCATGTTTTGTGTCCGTTGGGTACTATGCCCTATATTTTCAAAACGGACAAAACGTAGGGCGGACAAAAACGGACAAAAACAGACAAAACATTTAGATGTCCTCCTCAGTCTTCCTCCTCCTCTTCAGTCCTCCTCCTGACTACTCCTCCTCCTGAGTCCTCCTCCTTCCCCTCAGTCCTCCTCACCCTCCTCCTCAGTCCCCCTCCTCCTCATTCCTCCTCCCCATCCTCCTCCTCCTTCTCCCCATCAGTCCTCCTCCCCTGATAGTCGTCCTCCCCCAGTCCTCCTCTTCCTCCTTCTCCTCCTCGTCAGTCCTCATCCTCAGTCCTCCTCATAGTCGTCCTCGTCCTCCTTTTCGTCCTTAGTCCT